GAGAGAGAGAGAGAGAGAGAGAGAGAGAGAGAGAGAGAGAGAGAGAGAGAGAGAGAGAGAGAGAGAGAGCCCTTCGCAGCAAACACGGTGGCTTTGTCTCTCTCTTTCTTCCCCCTTTGTGCACTGACAGAAACGGGGTGCTTTGGTTTTCTTTGTTTTTACTTTTTTTTTACTAGAGGAATGTTGTTTGTTTTTCCTTTTTTCTCTTTTTTGTTTCTTTGTGTGTAGCACTGTGTACCTACCGGTAGCTCGAGGCTCGGCAAGCTTTGGGATACTGGTAGGCTGAGGGTCGGGCTCAGGATTAGGGTCGGGCCTGAACGACCGGTAGGTACTGGTGGGTTTAAGGCCCCTTGTTGTGGACGCCAATAATAATAAATTAATTGAGTTTTGAATGTGCAAATGAATGCACGTTGGAGACATATGTCCAGAATGTGCCGGCTTGTGCTGAAACCGATGATTACGCTCATCAGAACAATAGCTATAGCTGTAGCAATTCCAACGCACAGCAAAGGATACAAGACCAAGGACCGACCTCTCTGCAGAGTCTGCACTACTCTCCTAATCTATATAATGTCCAATTCCAGCTGCAGTTGGAGGCTGTTTTTTGGCGAGTAAACAGAGCAGTGGTTTGAGCAGAGTGAACTGGAATAGAAGATCGGACAACCAGAGGGCGCGTTCAAAAAAGAAAAAGAAAAAAAAAGAAAAAGAAAAAGAAGAAGAAGAAGAAGATGGGACCACCGTATGGGGCATATGATGGGGCTTTTCCTACGGAGTTCGGCGACAGTATACGCATCCAGTGGTCATGATATGAGTATGCCCTGGTTTGTTCCATGTCCAGTATGCTTCCCTCCTTTTTTGAAAAATAAATGTATTTTTGGTCAGGCATTAAAGGAATTTCCTGCACAATAGTTTACCTGGTATGTCATACGTCTTGTGATAGTTGCATGCTGTTTCCGTGATTATTGTGCAAAGGACAGCTGTGTCATGGTCTCTACGTCAGCGGGATTCTTCTTCTTCTTCTTCCTCCTCCTCCTCCTCTTCTTCTTCTTCTTCTTCTTCTTCTTCTTCTTCTTCTTCGCCTTCTCGCCGTCTTCTTCTTCGCCTTCTTCTTCACCTTCTTCTTCTTCGCCTTCTTCTTCACCTTCTTCACCTTCTTCACCTTCTTCACCTTCTTCACCTTCTTCGCCTCCTTCACCTTTACCTTCTTTGCCTTTGCCTTTGCATTCACCTTCGCCATCACCTTCGCCTTTGCCTTGTTCTTCTTCGCCTTCTTTTCTTCGCCTTCTTCGCCCTCGCCCTCGCCTTCACCATCACCTTCACCTTTGCCTTCGCCTTCGCCTTCTTCTTCGGCGCCGCCTTTTCTTTGCCTTCTTCGCCTTCTTCGCCTGCGTCTTCTTCTTCTTCTTCTTCTTCTTCTTCTCCCTGTAATTCTTCTTCTTCTCCTTGTAATTCTTCTTCTTCTTCTTCCTCCTCCTCCTCCTCCTCCTCCTGCTCTTCTTCTTCTTCTCCTTCTTGTGCCTTGCCATCCAGAAATTCTTGCTAGGTTTTTGGGTGAACTGTTGTTGACTCTGTTGCCTTCGGTCTTGCTGTTATCTTCATGCTTTCCAGGAAAGGGACTTCATGGGAGGTGATGCTCAGGAGAGAGAGAGGAGAGGAATGGAAAAGTTATCATCATCTTAATCCCAAACTTTGACTGCAAGGTGTGTTTGTTCTATGCTATCTATAGCAATGTGAGTCCAAAAAGCGCCTCAGGGGGACCACCATGGCAAAGGGAATGGGAATGGGACGAGGAACATGCAAAGAATGGGGTGGTGGGTCCCAGAGAAACCAGGGGTTGCACGTTCTGCAGATTTACAGGGCTTTTTTTAAGGGGGGTGTAAGAGATGAGATGGAGGATGGTTGGAAGAAAGAACAAAGAGGATAGCAGAAATGGTTGACATTGTTGTTCATAGAACAAGCAGGCAGGGGGAGTTTGGGGTGCATTCTTTTCTTAAAGCAGTTGCATTATTTGGAGGGCAAGGGGGTATAGAAGGTGCGATGTGGGGAGGAATGACAAGGCAACTTAGGCGGACCGCATGGATGGAACAGAAATGTGATGCAATGTCGTTCTCTTTGGGAACTTTAAGCCGGTCTACTCTTTTTCCAAAATATTTTTGTTCACTGTTTTTTGTTTGTTGTTTTGAATGTTTAGCAAGTGTTTTTCCTGAAGTTGAATCTTGGAAATTCCAGGTAGGTTACACAACCGGAACTTCATAATCCATTTCTGCGTTGCATGGCTTTCCATCCATGATGAGGCAGAATTTCACATCTTAATCCATCTACTACAGTAGGAGGCGGAGGTGCCTTGTGCTGGAATGAGGAGGAGGAGGAGGATTAAGATGTGAAATTCCGCGTTGCAGGCTTTTCCATCCACTAGAAGGCGGAGGTGCCATGTGGTGGAATGAGGAGGAGGAGGAGGAGGAGGATTCATATGTAAAATTTCAGGTAGGTTACGGAGCCAAAAAGTTGCAATCTTGTACCGCCTTGCATGGCTTTACCGTCCATGAGAAAGCTGGAGGTTCCTTGCCCAGGAATGAGGAGGAGGAGGAGGAGGAAGAGGCGGCGGAGGAGGAGGACGGAGGGGAGGAGGAGGAGGATTAAGCTGTGAAATTCCAGGTAGGTTACGTAGCCAAATATTATAATCGTGTACCAGCTTCCATGGCTCTTTTATCCAGGAGAAGATAGAGGTCCCTTGTGCTGGAATAAGGATGAGTAGTAGTAGGAGGAGGAGACGGACAAGGAGGTGCCTGCTGGTTGCATTGAGACCTCTGCTAGGGTGGGAATGTCGCTGCTGGATCTTTTTGAGATGAGTTAATGATTCGTCAAATGCATCTTTTTTCTTTCGTTTCGTTTTGCTTTACATCAATCGACTCTTTAGGCTTTGTACTAAGTTCTGCTGAGTCCATCGGTATCTGACAGTAAGGGCATTCAGAGAATGGACATTGCTCCACTACCCACCGCTCTGAATTCATCGCTATCTGATATTGGTCGCAATACTTCCCGAAAGTTTGGTCGGCCCAAATGTATTTCATCACTCTCCAGTAGCCCTATAAATTAAGGATTTTTAATGGAGGAAGGCCCAAAGTCTTTAGGACTTTTTACAGAATCAGGAGGGTTGTCAGCGGGATCTGGTTGACGTTTTGTTTTTGTCTTTTGGTCTGTGTGTGTGTGTGTGTGTGTGTGTTTCGATCGGCCTTTCTTTCGAAAGCCGAAATCAGCAGACGTTTTTTTTTTTTTCAAAGGAAGTTTCTGAATCAGCTGCGATGCACAAAAACTCTTGTTCGTGCTCCCTCCACCGAGAGAGGTAAGCTCCCTTCACCAAGAGAGGTAGATCGCTATGCTTGCAGGGGTCCCCTGTATAGCCTTAAGAGTAGTGGTTGCTAGGTCATGAAAGATGAAAGAATTTAAGAGAAGAATATAGTGTAGGTTTTTTTTTGGGGGGGGGGAACAAAAAACAAACTCTTTTTCGTGCACATAACTTTTTTTTCTACGGCCTGCATTCCTCCCCCCCCCCCCCCTCCTTTCTTTCTCTTTTTTTTTCATCAAGTCGAGGTTGTTGTAGAGGTTGGATAGTAGACGTATGACAGTCACCCTTGGTAGTCGGCCATTAGGTTATCCAGATGGTCTACAGAGGGCCCCATTCCTTATGAGACTCCCTCCCGCCACGCACTCTCATCATTTCTAGCCCTGTCGTACGGGTACTTCGACCGCTAGGCATGGCCGGCCATTCTTCTACAAGCCCCCATAGGTGGAACCCCCGTTCCTATCCTCCCCCCCCCTTCCCTCAAGTTGTTGTTTGTATTGTTCGTTATATGTACCCACTGTTATTGTGTGCTTGACCCAGAGGTTCTAGCCTATTATCCGTGGATGTACGGCCACCATCCGCCCTTTTGTACCTATAGACATCCCCCTAGACCCCTCTCTAGTCACGTTGTTGTGGTTGTGCTGTGGTTGTGCTGTTGTTGTTCTGGTCATTGCTGGTTTCTATGATTGTGACCCAGACGTTCTAGCCTATTATCAGTAGATGTGCGACCACCATCCGCCCCTCTACATATAGACTTCCTCCTAGACCTCTCTGTGGTCACGTTGTCATGGTTATGCTATTGTTTGTTTGTTCTGTTTGTTGTTGGTTGTGTTCTATTTGTCAATGGGGGGAAGCAAGCAATCCCACCAGTATCTATCCATACGATATCGCCTACTGTGAGATCACCCCTAGAGTCCTCATCCAGGGTGCCTGTGTATATGATGTTCTAACTTGGGCTCTTTTTTTTCCTTCCTGTTTTTCCCCGAACCAAACAACGTCCCTTCATTCATTGAAAAGAGTGCTATCTGGACCTCACAGTCTTTCTGGAAAGAGTACTGGGCCCATTACCCAGCTTCGGTTGCTGGTACATGCTAAGTCCAGCGATGTATATGGAGCAATGGATCCACGAAGTGATGAAAAGGACTCGAATGGACAAGCAGTGTCAGCAAAGCGTCAACGAGCAATGTACATCCAGACTGTGTATCTTTTGAACGGAGAACGGGCGAAATTCAACGGTCGTTCATCCGTTTAACGGGCCCCAGGACCCCCGTTAAATCCCGTTTAACGCAAAAACAGGGGCTTGGTGTTGAATTCCGAAAAACGGAATTCTCGCTTTGGGCCTCGGACACGTGTGCCTACGTGGCCGAACACTCAAACCTGAAAGAAAAGAAAAAAAAAATTCACCCCCATTTGACTGTC